ATATTTTCTAAACTTGCAATATGTGCTAAAGAGGTTTTCACCGTAATTCCAGGTTCGTTTTGTCTTTTTATAAAGTGTTTTAGGTTTTATTGTTTAGAGTGTATATATATCTTGGGAGAATTTGACCATGCTTTAAAAATTTCTTTAGAAGTTTAAGAGACAATTAGTTGAATCAAAATCATCAGAAAAATTTACTGCAGTAAACTCGTATAAAATGGGTTACGTTTCATCTCATCGTTGTGTTGTACTAGTTACTAGAATATTGCCTTCAGTTCTTCTTCATTCTGTCAAACAGTTGCAAGCTCTCTCCTCGGGCCAATCACGATGTTGTAGCAATATGTGAACGGCCTGTGGCTATATACACGTTTATTACAATATAAAGACGAGATCATAACTTAGACCTCGTTATATGAAAATAAACGCTGCCGCGAAATAATTTACTGTTTTACCATGGTTTTGTACAAGTGTGATGTATGTACTAAAATTATAGTGTTACGTAAACCATTCAGAACAGACGAAATTTAAAAAAAAACAACTAATTAAGTAAAAAGTTTTTAATTCATATGGAAACTCACCCATTAAGTTCGTGGTTCGTTAATTTAAATACGTGATGCTGGCAAAGCTTGTATAGAAATGGAATCAATGGCCTATTCAACACCTAGGATTTTTATGAAGAATCAAAATGATTATATGTCAAGACAATAAAGGTATAACTAGCGAATTTATTAGTTGGTTTATGGCCCAAAATATGTACTCTTATCTACACGGATACTTATATTTACACACATACAATATTAGCTTAGTATTAATGTGTACAATTTTATTTCCTTTGTAAATTTCGTGATTACGAACACTCAATGGATTTATAGCGTGTTTCGCGCTGCCTAGGGTCTAATACTAATTTTTTTTATAAGATTATTTCAACACTTTCTGTTTATCTCCGATATGAAACGAAACATTCAAACCTCCTTCCTACCCGTAGATCACTGACCCTCCCTGGTCCAAAACATAAACCGAACCCCTATAAAGAAGTTGATCCCTAAATCTATCCAAAATTTGAAACGTTAAGTGTGGAATCTTAAGTGACTTTTCTTATAATGTGTTATGTCAACACATTAACTTTATCAGCAATTACGAATCGCTGTTTTGAAGTTCTAGTGGTAGTTGTTAACAGAAACTTAATTATATCGAGATATAATACATGATAATTTGTAGCGTATACTTTTGTATTCATACTACAGATATATATACACACAATCGTACGTACGAAATCCTCCTGGTTCATCTGCGCTTATGTATTAGTGTTAACTTTAAAAATATCCAAGTATTTTTTTTAACATTTGAAATTAAACTTTATTTTGTAAGTTTTAAGTAATGGCATTAGGTTAGCCAAAATATTAAGACTTGTAGTTGAATTAAAGATTGAACAGATTGCGTGATGTGGATAAATAAATAAATAAAAGCTATCGCTGTGTGTAAATATGCAGTTGGAATTCATAAATTATAAAAAACACAAAACTAACTTTTATTATTTCTTTTTTTAAGTTGTAAAAAACAATATGTAGAACATGTATATCTCGTCGTAAACTTTCTGAAGAAAGCAACGCTTTAAAATTGAAAATATAGGTACTCGTAGTATATTCGTTTCTTTATTGAATTTGCATAATACATGTAACGCAAACAGTTTACATTTGAATCTAAATATGGCTTTAAATTCAATTATATAGTCGTGCATCCAAGTTTAATTTATAAGACGTTCTTTCAAAGGTTTACGTTTCTCGTTTGTGATTGGTTGAATCAGTAAAATCCATTATTTATTGAAACAGTTACTTCGAAAGGATATTAATTTTTTTTCATAGAATGTTTAAAGACAAATTTCGCGTTGAAGAATATATCTGTGTATTTAATTAGAACCGTCCATGAGTTATGTAACGCTTTTTAGACATGTTTGATATTTTGCTTATCTAGTTTAAGATTCACCCAACCTTATCGTCCTGAGTACTTTGACATTTTCATTGGTGTGAGTTTTATAAGTGTCGATTGAACCAAAAGTGTGTATAAGTAATTAAACATGTGTGTTTTGGGAATAAAATACGTTATGTAAAGTATAATTAGTAATTATGTATATATATGTCTTTTCCAGCAACTAGCGTGGCATTTTCTGTATGTGTACATAGTTAGTCAATGTGAAATAATTGTGGTAATTTCGGTATATCCTTTATTGAGCGCCGAAAGATGTCGCTAGTGTTCTTAGAATACTCTTTTTTTTTTTGTGTACACATTTCTTTGCTGAGAATAAAAGGTTCATTCTTCAGCTACATAATCATTATTCTATGTGTTATTATTAAATGATTTTAAAACATGCATTTTGTGTATCTTGAGTTTCATATTCTTGAAAAAAAAATGTTGTTTTTATCTCAAGCATACGAAAATTTTAGCCTGTATAATTAGACATTTTTTTTTTTTCATTTCAAAAATCACTTTCAGAAGCATCACGCGTGCACATGTATTAAACCTTCAACTTGTCAATAAAACTTTAAATCTAAACTAACCCAGTAAGCAGTTCGTCCAAATTGAAGTTTCGATTTAGTTTCGATTTATTCTCTGAAACAAAGGTATTATTTTGAAGTCAATGCCACAAAGTTACTGTAATTTATTACTGAAGTACAAGATTCATGATGGGGGAAACCGAAGTCTAATAATGAAGATGAAGACGGTTGAGAAAACCTAAAATATTTTATTTACAAGGTTCAAATAAACTCGTTCCATCTTCAGCGAAATCTGAAAATCGTGTTACAAAAATATTTATTAACTAAAACTATACTGTCATTAATCACTAGTTAAATTAGTTATTAAGAAGAGTGGTTAATGGAAGGATAAAACAAAATATTATAGATATA